AAATATTATAAATTTAAATTATATAATATGTGAATGAACATCAATTAAGTCTTTCATTATGCAATCTACTATTAAAAAAAGAAAAAAAAAAGACCTTGGAGATGTTAAGAAGTAGCAGCTACTTATGTGATGAACTTGTATATTGTACCTTTGGGCCTGGGTACCGTGTACCGGGTAGTGACCCATTCGGGTATCAAATTATGTACGCTCTTCTAAAATAGTCAACAGCTCTTTGCTCTAGTGAAAACAAAACTTACTCTTACTAGAGGCTGAAAGGATATATGTTTCCCTCCCTCCATTGTTGTCAATGAGTGGGACTCAAGCTTATGTAAGGACAACTTTTTATGAACGCTTCTTCGCAGACTTAGTCTTGACATCCCGATTCCCAACACCTTAATTATAGCTGATCGGCACATGGGATTGGTCTAATTAGCACCAGAAGACCAGTTCAATCATATCCTAGAATCTCCATCACCTTAACCCATACATGAGTCATTCAGTTAATTGGTCTCAAGTCCCAACCACATGTCGTTCTATCTATTACACGCACAGTCAAGTGGTCCTTAAAATTGAAACCCCTCTCTCCCCATCCATTATATCCATCATATCCCTCCAAGTCCGGCGTATTTTATGGGGCTTCTCCTTCATCTTCTTCCCATGCCACATGATTGTTGTTCTTAAGATTATTTGATATAAAATCAAGAAATGATCTCTTCCTTATTTGTTACTCTACTGCCGTTCAGACATGCTTGATTCCTGACTTACGGATAAGAGAGTATAATACAAGTTGCTGATTATTGTGCAAGACTTGACTAGGAATAATATCTCTCCCTTTTTTTGGTCAGCACTTGATAAGAATATTCAAAGCATGGTTAGGCTTCGATTAGGAGTGATGTGTTGCGTTAGATTGTGCTGTGATTTTAGGTTTTGTTTATCTTTTTTTATTGCAAAATATATAATCTTTTCGTTCTAAAATAATAAATTTTTTTTATAATAATAATAATTTTTTATATTTAAAAAAACAAATATATTTTTATTTAACTTTATAATTATTTCTTAATTTTAATCATTCATCCGTTATAAAACACTCCAAACGAAAGCCTTAATCTAAAAAATCTCCCATTAGAGATTGCAAGCCTTCAGGATCACGGGCAGCATACTTTAGAAGGCATGAGATTCCAGATAGCTTTCATCATCATGCACAATTTGCTTGTTTAAATTGCTAACCCAAGAGAAAATGAGGAAATAATTTATAAAATTCTCCGTTTAATAAATGAAACACGTAATGTAACGTGACATCCATGGTCCAGTTAAAAAATTATGAAAATTAAATCAATTTAGAAATCAAGAGTAAAACTAACAAATAGAAAGAATCTGACCCCACAAGCCCCCTACAAAGTCTTCAACTACTTCTCCCGTAAGGCCGTAAGAGCAGTCTGAGGGAGGAGACAATAAGCATGAGATTATAGAAAAATATGACAAGAGGACAAATCCCATACACATCTCCTTACCAAATCAGAGAATCACCACGCGTATACAAGCACCTAAAAAGATCTGTCATTTTCATTACAAAATCTTCTCAATCCTTCGTCTAGAAGAAATTCTCTCTCTTTCTTTTTTTTCTTTGTTCTTCCCTTTATCTCTCTTTGATTTATTTTCTTTAGTGCATTCAACCCTATACTCACCGTCAACGACTAAAAATACATATAACTCTATATTAGATTGTATGACTAATACGTATCTCTCTTAATTTATGGTTGTAACATCATAGGTATTTTTTTCCAAACCTTAAACCTCTAACCTAGAAGGGTTGTATTTATTGGTAATTAAGTGACAAAGGAATAAAAAAAAAATTTGAGAACTTGATCAAAGGGAAGTTAACCTCATTGGTACTTTCTTTTTTTTTTTTCCAAAAACCCTAACCCTCTAACTTTGAATGGTCATATTTACTAGTAATTAAGTGTTTGTGTTATAAAACAGGTTTAGAATTCAAATTTTAAATTAACGTTTAAAGAAATTAATTTTTTTAAATGCGCTAAACTAATATAAAAAGTGCAACTTTAATATTGTGAAAAGAGAGATTAATTTTAAAATATATAAAAATCAGTATGAAAAAGAATATCATGATTGTAAATAAAATAATAATAATAATAATAATAATCCTAATCCTAATCCTCTACTTTTGCCCATTCTCTTTCAGTGAAATGCTGGAAATTATTTTTAGGGGAAGTAATTAAGAGGGATATCTTGGAGGATATTAAATGCAAATCTCACAACATAGAAAGTTTTGTATTTTCACCTTAAAGGTAATTTTTTTGAGTTAGAGACTCAATCTGTATAAAATATAAATGGTTATTAATTTTGGTGTTAGAGCTACAAAATTCCTCTCAATGTTTACGGCTCATGCCAAATCCTGATATCAAAACATAGAAAAACTTGTCAGAAAGTATATTTTTATCGCTTCTTGTGAAATCAAAATTTAATAAACACAAGTGATTGTATGTTACTAATTATAACAGCAAAACTGTCATTGCTGCTAAGATTTCAGTCTCCATGTTAAAACATAGGAAATTACCTTTTCATTCGTTTCTTGCAAAATCAAAACTTAGCACTATTAGTAGAACATTCTTATTTTTTGCATTCATGGTCAACTGTAAGTATTACTATTTCCATCAACGAAATCACCAATAAAGTGGAGAATGTAATAAATGAGATAGAGATTTGCAGAGTAAAGAAAGCAATTCCATTTAATAGCATTATCATACAACTGCTGATAGCGGATTACAAAGAGATTACAAAAGGCATCCTTATTATATTTCACAGGAACTTAAACCAGCCATCCCACCCAGAAGAAGGGTACAAACTCAAAACCTTATTTCATTGGTTCTTCTTCTTATTATATACTTAACCCTAAATTTTTACACTTGTTTTGTTCTTCCTTCTTCTCCTTTATTCTCCCTTGGAATCCTTTCTATTCTTAGATAAAAAACAGCCAAGATACGATTAGAATCAGTTCATAAAGCAGGAAACAACCCCTGTTTTCTTTTCTTTTTTTTGGAAATTTCTAATATGACCATTCTTGAGGTAGACCTAGATCTTGGTGGTTGATGGCCGGCGCCGTCCGTAGGTGACGTTTCTGCTGCGAGGGAATGCTGTTACTCCCATCCACATGGGTATCTGCAGACAGTAATCAAGACAAAAAAACATCTTTCGTGAGAAACAAACAGAATCATAAATAAACAGAAAAACAGAGTAAGAACAGAGAAATCTAGATTTACCCTGTTGTTGCAGAGGAAACTCAGTGTTTAATCTTGGTGGAACTCCCATTTTCTCAAAGTGGACTTTGAGTGCTTGAACTACTCTTGCAGGAATAAGAACTGTGGGAGATCCTGAGTTTTTTTTTTTT